ACACAAGTACAAACACACAATCACAAAGACACAACCACAACCACAACTACAACACACAATCGCAAAGACACAACCACAACTACAAACACACAATCACAACCACTACCACAACCACTACCGCAACCACAAACACGCAACCACAAACACACAACCACAAACACACAACCACAAACACACAACCACAAACACACAACCACAACCACAACACAGCACAAAACCACAGCACACAACCCGAGGACCCACAAGCAACATCGAGAACTACAATACTAACGACTATGGCAACATGCTCCTCACTATGGCATCAAGACAAATGATTGAAATGTCATGGTGGGGACCACTCGAAGTAAAGTAATTGGAATGCTTCACGGTAGTCCAACTCCCTCTTGTAGGAACCACGTTCAACCGCTTGATTCTTTTTCAAGCATCTCAAGGATAGGCCCAGGTGCAGTTTGGTTTTATACTCTCCAAGTGCATTTTGGGCGCCCTTCTCAGACCTAGACACGACCTGTCTACTGGCCATCCATGCCGGTCCCTCTTTTCAACCACCCCACCGTGGGTCGCGCCGACGCTTGCTTCGATGCTCGGAGCGCTTCCAGCGATGCCAGGAACTTGGAAGCCTTGGTCGTAGAGGGCAGCCTCACTGTGACCGTGGCCCCTCGGCCGGGACGCGGGCGAGTTGCGACACCAGACGAACACCGGCAGAAATGCTCCGTGGGTGAGCTGAAAAGCCATGAAAAGCCGGTTTGGTGCGTTGAAACAGCACCCCACTAAACATGAAGAGGTGGAAGAACCTTGGTGCAGACGGTGTGGTCAAGGTCTGGTGGGGTACAAAGGAGGATAGTGTCGATAGTGTTGCCATCAATCGCTATGGCATGAACGATAGAGGTCATCTATGGGGGCGGAAAACTCCTGCCGAACATCGCCGGGCCCTGATACACGGCCAAGGAGGCAGATATGGTGACAGGGTGATGGTGACAGCTGTGAAAAAGAATGGACCAAGCAATGTGATGACATTGATGCTGTTGTAGCTGAGCTAGATGGTCAAATACAATTTGCTTGATGAGCGACCAGTATGGGTATAGCCTTAAAATAGAACAAGTTGTCCAGTGGGAACTGAGGAGCTTGTTTTCTTCCAGGGGGCTCGTGTTTCACAGGGGCACTGTCGTACCTGAAGCAGGTCTGCCGTTCTGTTTGTTGCCTATAAAAGAGCTCAGGAAGAGTAGGGAGAGCACCATCAACCTGCGTTCCTTGAGATGAGGAGTCTCCCAAAACGGAGGATACCAAGCACATGAAACATCATAAACTTGTTTCAATGTGCGCAATGTGCAGGTCAGCAAGCATTTCTTTGTTGGGAGACACCCACCTGACCGCCACGCCCGCGTCTCCCAGGGCAGTGGCCGGCGTTTGGGGCGTCGTTTGGCGCAGCTGGAGTTGCAAAAGGTTTTGAGCGAGGCGGGGTTCCAGCAGGGCTTCGGTGGCAGGTTGGAGGAGATTTCAGAGGTGAAGTGCAGATTCCGATGTTTCTTTGGGGGGATCTGGCGACAACATGATCCATTCAACGTCGAAAAAGAGTACAAGTTCAGGAGCTAAATATTGGGTCATTATGATATAATCGTCTCTTAGAGAGGAGGTGCCTAGTACTGAAGAGTTAATAGTAGTTACTTGGTCGCTGGGAACAAATCAACTCGCCCTAAGTGGGGGCCTAATGGTGTGCTACCTGGATTCTGCATGGAGAGCGCTTTTATTTGGATGTACATACCCTGTACATACCCTTTGATGGTTGCATGGTTCACCTGGTTGATCCACAAGGGACCAACCACTCATGGGAAGGCTCCGCTGATGGATCAACTGTGACCCTTCCTGAAAGAATCATGTAACCCATGGATGGCCTTTCGGACGAGCATTTTTCCGCGAAGAGGGCGGTTTTAACACTTCCATGATTGTTTCCGGGAGCGTGAGCGTGCTGTAAATACCAGAAGGGGGTTGTTTTAGAATAGAGAGATGTCCTTCTTCCACGGGGCCTGTGGAGGGTCTCCCTATTTCGATCAATGTATTGTACATGGCGAAGAACCAAATCAGTTGGCTCCATAAACGTGGCTGAGACACCCAGTCGCTATGGACATGAGTTGCTCAAATTCTAGTTCACCCTCAAAAGCCAACGACCCTCAACACTTGTGACGCTTGTGAATGGCACCATCTTCCTTTCTGAATTCCTGGAGCTTTTCCAATGACTTCTGTTTGGCCCACGAAGCACCTCGAGCGAGACGGAGCACCTCGGCGGAGCCCAACGTAGAGCCATCGGTCAACAGTGTCACTCTCTGCAACCGAAACATCATCATCCACTGAGACCTGATTACCACTGATATTCCTATGGAGCAGGGTATAGTGGAATACCAGGTCTCGAATTCATACCCAATCTCGGTTTCCCTTCGTTTCTTCACAACAGACATGTCTGGTGACTCCTCTCACAGGTCACAGCTCTCGAGCTGCGCTCCATCCTGGTGACTCCTTTGGGAGGCCGCCGGATCCACCGGGCTCGGGCCCAGCGAGTCCGCCCGGCCCAGCCTGGCCTTCGACCATCAAAAGGAACGGGAACGAGCTGGTGGTGTAGGGGAAAAAATCCGTAAAACAAGGGTTCTTGGGGATGAAGGACCATTGAAACAATGGTTGTTTGAACCCTAGGGGAAGATGTTTTGTACTGGGTGACACCCAGGATACGAGTGTGTATCCACTTTTGGGACCAAGGACATGTCAATGGCGGGGATGGGAATCAGATGTTTTTGTTGGACAGATCTGAGATATATCAGAGATGTACAGCTCGCATAGTGTCTATGACATTTTTTGGGCTAGTACTAGTGGATACTAGTGGCCGTCCAATACGAATTGCCAGCATGCATCAAGGCTGCGATATGGGCCTCGCAGAAGCCTTGTGACCAGAGGTTTGGTTTTGCACGCGGTGGTGGCTGTGGTTTCCTGCGGTGTGGGTCTCAGACCTGCTCGTTTCGCCAAACAAAACAAGAAATGGGTTTCTTTCGGGGGGGAGGTTGCACGCTGTTCTCAGCACGGCCACACCGTTCTTCTCTTTCAAAGGAGCTGCACTTCCCTTCCCACACGCGAATAATGCGACCATAGATGCCGACCCATTGACCCCCCTGGCACCACCCCTGGCCGTTTCTCCGCAAATATGGCGGTCCCATAGAGTCGGGTGTTTGGGATATATCATATATAACTTATATAATAATACTTAATATGTATATGTATGTTTGCATCCTCTTGTGCTGCCTGCAGGTTCCGACTTGGGTTACATCTTGGCAGCAGCGTCCATCGGGCCTCTTGGTCGAATGAGAGGGGTCGAGACCCGTGCTGACGACCCGATTCTTCGGTTGAGTCACAAAGGATAACCCCGACAATCCATGGGGACTGGACCTTCAAAGGGGTGTTTAATGGATCCCAACAATCCCCTTTGAAGGTGCTGGTATTGACACTTATCTAGTGACATATATTTACATATAGTTACCATTAATCATTCATTTAACTATGCATGATTTTGTGGACCCTTAAGCCATCGGAACAAACTACACGATATGTGTTTTCTAAATATGCCAGTCCCATGGATTGGTTCGGATATTGAGACATACGTCATACGCCCAAAATTGAGATGTGAGCTTGGACTGGGTGATTGCTGTGAAGAGGTTTGGGGTTGACGGGAAAGCCGGGTCGATTCGTCCAAGCTAATTAGCACCCCAAGACACTTGGATGGTCCAGCAAGGCGCTGCCAACTCAGTCGGCAGTGGGTCCAAATCTGTAAATCCCCAACTCGTAGGTTGACCTCCCAAGTATATTCTGTTCATTATCGGTGGTCAAGCAAGAGCCATGTACCGTAGCCAGCCAACTACAAACCATCATGTTGGTTGGTGGTGATGGGACCATCCAGCGGAACGAGTTTGGGATACCACGTGATACCACACAGCATGGCGAGCAAACGAAGGTGAATCAACACTCGCTGACACACTGATGTCAACCCAAATTGAAGGGCATGGCACAAGGATGCAAACGGCTTTGGTTTTGTGAGTGTGGAGCTAAGAGAAAGGCCAGTCCATCAGCTCACAGGAGGACCCGAGAACTAATGAAGGAACCCCAGCCAAATCATTGACTCATCAAAACATATCAAAACGTCCTGCAGCTGGGAGTCTTCGACTTTCCAAAACCAAGCAAAACCGTCGTTGAAAAGAATCCACCACCCACAGCCCTTCGACAGGGGGCTCCGCAAAACGTCGACAGGCGCGAGCTCGACGAAGCAAGTGCGCAAGCAGCAGCTGAGGAGGCGCAGAGGCACACGATCCACCGCGGGAGAAGAGGGTTGGGAGTGGAGTGGAGTGGGGATCCCACCGTGCATTTCAGCACCAAGAGCGTCATCTTGCGCAGTTCTGGCCCAGGAGTGTCATTTTGACGCCACCTTCACCTCTCCTTGCTGGTTGGGTTCAGCATGTTTGCATGTTACACAGCTGTGCCGTATGGCCAGCTGGCTTCACTCATCGTCCGGCTGTGGCTGGCGCACCTTTTGCTGGGTTCCCACGGACCCGGTGCCATGCGTGTGTGGTGTTCTTCGAGGTGTTTTTGGCACCCTATAGCCTATAGGGATCCGAGTCCGGAGCCGGGTTGAACCCTGCTGTTCACCAGGGCCCCCTATAACAAACCCTAGAACAAACCCTATAGGGCTCCAGTGGTACCTCCTCAGGTGTATCTGGAACCTCAGAAGGTACTTGGAGCCCTAGAACAAACCCTTGTTTTTGGTTTCGGGTGCAGATCCGGCCCCGATGATCGACCGAACGTGGCGACCGCGGCGACGCAGGCGACTGGACGCGTCGTTGGCATCTGACTTCGCAGGCGGTTCGGCGCAGCGGGCGTTGAACGGTTCGTCTCGCGGGCGCAGCGCGTGGAAGGCGGGAGGCAGTTCCAGTTCAGAGAGTTCCAGCGGTAGAGCGGCCCTTGATACTAGTAGCTTCTAGGTATACTAGTAGTAGTGGCCTCCAACCTACTTGCGATGGCCTCCAACCTGGTAGCTTCTAGCTACTAGTGGCATTTCGAGAGTCCCGGGGTTGTGGCTTACCCATGGGGCGAGGACGTAGTCAGGACGGCGCGTGGGATCACCTGCAGGTCACCTTGATCGTTGTCGCTACTTAGCTCTTTTCTTTGACTCTGGCAGCAAGTCCTATGTCCCTCCATCTCCCCGGCTATGCTCCACACTCCTATCTCTCTAGAGTCTAGTATAATGTAGACTCGATTCGCTTGATTAATACACCCCCCCAGTTGAATTGAAAATCCTCTTCAAAGGGGGGGGTTATTAATCAAGAGTCTACATTAATTAGTTTGTTGCATGATGTACCTTCCGGATCTTCTTTGGATCACCGTTCCGACGGACCCCGCGTGTTCGGGCAAGCGGTGGCGAAGACAGATGCGAACAGGTGGAAACAGCCAAATACTCGATTTTTAAACAGGGAAGCGGGGAATAGGCTCGGGTGCCGGTCTTCATGTTGAAATGAGAAAGGTGTTCGCATGTATTCGCAGGTATTGGAGTGGGTTGCCTTGTCTCAAAAATGTCCAACACAGAGCTTGGGGTGAGAAACGACTGCGGAAGAAGGCGCAAAGGTGTTTGGTGTGAATTTCACAGTGTGAATCAACGTGCTCGAGTAAAGCCAGCGATGATGTTGCCCGGTCATTTTTCGCACCGAAAACCAAAAAGCGGCACAACAAGTACGTTGGACGGTGGCCTCGGTGTCACCACCCAGGCATAAGAACAGGTCAGTGCACAGCCATTACGCGACAGGTCTCTTGTCCGCGGAAGTGGGTTCATCTGTAGAAGTGCAGGTGCTGTGATGTGGGGAATGGGGATGGGGAATGGGAGTATGGCTCGTGAAGTTTTGGGTGAGTAAGGCATCCATACTGTATGGTCCCTCACGCAACACAAGTTCACCATCAACGTGCAGAAAGGGTTGACTTTTTATGCAGCTTGATCACTTTGATTTTTGTTGCCACATCAGACTTCCTCAACGTTGCGTCGCAGCTTGCAATGTGAAACCAATGTGAACTATGCAGTGATTATCATGGGTTAATGTCCCACATTCAATGTTTCTATGCAATTGTGCGGTCCTTTGGCATGTCAGCAAACGTGCTTTGGCTTGATCCAAGGCAATGGTTTTATTGTTTTCCCATTTGAACATTTTTCTAGATCTCGCTGGATATCATGAATTGCTTGTTTTTCGATTTGATGGAACGAGTTCCACGGTCTTTGGTTGGCGCACTAAGCGGTCCGAACGGATTGTTTTATAGAGATATGATCATTTTATATGGACTTAGACGAGCACCCTCCAACAGTGTCACCAATTGAGACCTGTTAAGGCCTAACCACCCTGTCAAGAGAAGACCTGTTGGAGGATGCTGGGATAGTTGATGTTTGGACTCAGATCTTTGCGATACTCCGCCCAGGCGGTGATCCGCAACCAACCCCTTGGTGCCTGGATCGGGATAAAGGAGATATAGCTGTGTCATTTCCTGTGAGTCGCTCCAAGCTGGCCATATTCATGGGCAGCCACTCAACTCCATCACGACACTGGAGACTATATAAGTGACTCAATGCTCCACTTGAACCAAAAGATCCGAGCCGAACACTCACATGTGACCAGAACTGAACACCCTGGCACAAAGAAGACAAGTCTTCCACCACAAACCATGCCATCCACTTCCTGGGGACGTTGCGTGTGTTCATGGGAGTGAGTTTCGCTGGTACCCTCTCACACATGCGTGCATGTGTGTGCATGTGCGTGCATCTCTCCACATGCCAACCCACCTCCACAGCCAGCTCGGCCAGCGCAGGTGCTCCAGCCGCCAGAGGTCTCCCGCCGCAGCGAAGCCTTTGGCGCCTGCTCCGCGCCGCCGTGCGGAGCCCCCGAAGAGTCGAGACGCAGCCGGTGGGCCGAGCGCTGGGGGAGCGCAGCCGGCGAGAGGTATCAATAGGGAAGTAGCATGAGGTAGCCAAGGTGGGATGGGGGGAAGAGATTTTGGCGATACTGGGCTATACTCAAAACCTGGCAAATCGAGGTTTTAAAGGCGAAACTCCTCAGCTGGGGCGGCATTGGCTGCCACGGTCGGAGGATGTTTGGAGCTTCTGAGTTGGTGGGAGCTTCAAGTGATTTGGCAGTGGTCAACCCTTTACTTGAGATGATTGATCCCGTTGACTTAAGATGTTTCAAGTGAGGTTCAGAGACACTAGGTTGTGTTGTGAAGCCACATCAATGTTGAAAGATGGATTTGACTGTAGTAAAAACGGTGATGACGATCTCGTGGTGCATACAACAATCTTTAGCTAGGATTGTCCTACGTGTGATATCAGGACGGTCTTCTTCCAAGAAAGATTGTTGTGTTTCCTTAATTGCGTCCTTGCCCCTTATAGCGATGCCCTTTGTTACTAGTACCGATGCCCTTGCTACTAGTAGCGTTTTGCGACTATCAAAGAAAGACGACCCCGCGATTGAATTCAATGAAAGCGATACACGTTTCTTACAAGACCTTATCAAGACCTTGCAACCAGAGGTCTATTTGCGCGGCAACCTGGGGTGTTGGTGCGACGCTGCTACCCTACTTCAGCTTTTTCTTGGTGTTTGGGTGAGATCCACTCAGGGGTGTGGATTTTCCACGGCAGAGCCTGTTTGCGACTGTGCTTCTCACCAAGTCTTCCTTCACTTCCTTCGCTTCCATTTGCCGTTATGGCGGAAGCTCTAGCCTCCCAACCATGGAAGGCTGTTCCATCTTCATGCAGTCGAGGCCATCCCTATTAGGTTGGAGGCCATCGCTAGTAACAAGAAGCTACGAACGTAACACAGGGCATCGCTACGAACGGAGCGATCGGACGCTACTAGTAGCTCCTGGCAGTACTACTAGTAACAACTAATTTGCTAATAGTAGCTATTTGCTAATTACTAGTAGTAATGCCCTTGTTACTAGTAGCGATGCCCTAGTTACTACTACTACTACTACTACTACTACTACTACTACTACTACTACTACTACTAC